AACTGCGATTGTGTGCTACCGCTCGGAAAACACCGCAATGTGCCTGGCACGACTGGGGTGCCATTAGAAAATGATGGCACTGCCAGCGCGATCGGCTTTGGTGTGCGATCTGTGACTGCCCGGTCATCGTGCACGAAACAGAGCGGATGGCTGGGTGTTCACGGAATCACACATCACCGCCGATTTCGCTGCCAGTGCCATTATTTTCTAATGGCACCCCAGTCGTGCCAGGCACATCGCGCATTTTCCTGCTGCAATTACGCCCGGGCGATCACGGTTGAAAACACTGCGCGGTGCATGTCGTGAAAATAGGTACATGTACCTTTTTTTTCCAGGGATTGCCACCCAGATGTAACTCCATACATGCGGATGCAACCGCTGTATGCCACCGCACACGATCAAATGTCCCGGGAATCCCCAAGTCTGCACCTACACCCTAAAGGGTAAATTCACTTTCCCAAGTTATTTGGGAAAATGGAATTACCCGCACAAATCTCCCTCCCGCTATACTTACCTTTTGGCGAACGGTCCTTCCCCCTCCACTATTACGGGTGTACTATCTGTACCTGTTCCATGTATTCTGAATTTCGCTCACAAATTGCAAGCACTCGTTGGTCAACGCGGCCACCTGACGGCATTGACCAATGAGAAGCGCTTCTTAGCACTGCTAAATACGGTTTTGGTTAAAATTATTTTTTTGTATCAGGACAAGTAGTTTGTCAAGAGGGACAAGTAGATTCGGCCCCCGCTTTAGTCCTTGGACAAGTAGTTTTTTCCAAAATGTCCACACCACTGCACACACACAATATAAATACATATACAAAACACCACACAATATATAAATTATTTTTGCATTAAAAGAGAATATGGGGTAACCTTTTATCCCATAGTTCTCTTTAGGGTCACAGGAGGACATATAATAATGTCCTCCTCCTGTGACCCAAAGCTCAGTATATTCTCCTGCAGAGAGCAGCGACTGACAGTCACCGTTCTCTGCAGGGAGATCAGGAAGTGAGCAGACGCATATATGCGTTCGCTCACTTCACGATCAATAGAGCCGGCGTGTGACAGTTTCAATGTCACGTCGGCTCGAACTTAAGTGTAAATCACTCACATCATAGTTCTCCTTCATGACCGATGCCTTTTAAAAAACATTTTTGTTTACATGTTATAAGCCACATTTTAGGCCTGAAAATTACTAAAACCCCCAAACATATTTTCTGAAAGCCAAGACCCTGTAAAATAAACTGGTGCCAGTTGCACGATATTAGTGCAACTCCTTATAAAAACCCCAGCATTTAGTGAAAAATGCACTTAAATGCCCCAAAACTCAATAAGATACCCATTTTTGTTATAAAGTATAAAAGATTAGGTTACAACGAGTAAATACTCAACATGCCCGAGTGAGACAAGATTCAGTATGCCCGAGTGAGACAAAATTCAGTACCTTGAAAATTCCATAGCTGACGCTTTAAAAGCCCCCACAGGTTATCAGTTTGGGAAAATGTGTAAATATGGGACCTAAAATTATTGCTCTCACTCCGGCGGTGATATCCAACATGTGTAGCTCAATCATCGTTTTCATATGTAGGCGCACCCGACGCTTGTTTACGTGAAGACATGCATGCTCACAGGGGACTTTAAAATATTTTTTTCAATTTTTAAAAAACTTCAACAGGAAATTAAAGTGAGGTTAAATCCAAAATAAGGACACGCATTTCCATGACAACTGTCTAAAGTAGGCTTACAGTTGGTTTCCATAAATGTTGTATGAAAAGTTGTTTTCGTAAAGGTTTGTTTGAATATCAATTAGTATGGTGCAATCGACAGATGAAAATTACAATGTTCCAGAAAATTTTTAAGAGCATGTTGAAAAAATGTCTAACAATACAAATTAGTAAATAATGTAGTTTACTAAATTTGTAGCCATCACAGGAGTGAGCTTGGAGTGGTGGCTACTTCACAACACACAGGGACCATGAGGAACAAAAGTAGCCCCCCTACAGAAGGAAGGACAGTGTCAGCATCAATTAGGAGATGATTTGAGGATCTACAGCCAAGTGATACACAAATAAGGTCCAGGGTTACTAGTACTTAGGTACTTGAATGCATTTTGAAGATTGAATGTCCGAGTTGAGTGTCACTTTAAAGGAGAACTATGGGGTTAAGGCTTTTCCCCATAGTTCTCCTTAGGGTAACGGGAGGACACAAACTAGCGTCCTCCCGTCACCCTAACCCGCGGTATACTGAGACGCCACAGTATACCGTGAGCTACTGCTCGCAGTATACTGAGACGCAGCAGCGGATCCCGACAATTATGTCTGGATCCGCCCAGCTGCGTGAGTGACAGCTGGCTCTGCCTATCTAGAGGCAGAGCCAGCTGTACCCTCCCCCGTCCATTCCGCCAGTCAGCGCTGGCGGATCGGAGCAGGAGGGGGGAATCCAGCCCCTCCCCTGTCATGGCAGAGAGTTGACAGGATCGAGAGGTGAGGGAACGCTGGTATGTGTATCTACTACTATGTGTATCTACTGTACATACTAAGCCGACCTGTGACAGTTTAATTGTCACAGGTCGGCTAGAACTATGAGGTGAGTGAAAAGCACTCACCTCATAGTTCTCCTTTAAGCATTTAAAAAAGGAGAACTATGGAGTCAGTGTTTTTCCCCATAGTTCTCCTAAGGGTCACGGGGGGACATAAACTAGCGTTCTCCCATGACCCAAAGCTCAGTATACCGCGAGCTACAGCTTGCGGTATACTGAGACCGCCGCAGCCGTGACGGATCCCGAAATTACTGTCGAGATCCACCCAGCTGCGTGATTAACAGCTGGCTCTGCCTATCTAGAGAAGGAGCCAGTTGTACCCGCCCCCTCCCATTCCACCAGTCAGCGCTGGAGGATCGGAGCGGGGAGAAACCCTGCAGGGAGCCGTTAGGGACAGTCACGGCTGATTGTATGCTCACTTCCCGATCTATTGAGCCGACGTGCGACAGATTCATTGTTACATGTCGCCTCATAGCTATCCTTTAACCCTTACAGTACAAAGGAGGCAGCCAAGCACTCCAAGGGTATTGATCTTCCTACGTGTCTGAAACTGGTCTTTAACCCTTTCGCTGCCAAGGACGTACGGCATACGGAGCTACAAAAGTGCTTCCAGCTGGCCAGCTCAGTATGCTGTACGTCCTTGGCATTTACAGTTCTACTATAAGCTGATGGTCGCTTTAGCGACCATCAGCTTATAGTAGAACTGTTCAGCAGACTGTCCCCTTTAAATTAAATAGATGTCATCAGCGGCTCACAAGCCGCTGATGGTTCCGCCGGGTTCTCAGTGTGTAATGAAAGTCCAACGTCCCCTGGTTTCTAGATAACCAGGAGATGCTGAACTGTCATTACACACTGAGAACCTGGCGGAGCCGCCGTGATATCACAGCGGCTCCGCCGGGTTCTCAGTGTAATGACACATCAGCGTCCGTGGTTAGCTGCTAACCAGGGGACGCTGATCTGTCTCTGCATGCAAGTGGCCGGAGCCAACCGTGAGATGATGGCTGGCTCCGCCAAGTTGTCAGTAGCAGGTTGTCGGCCAGCCGTTCCAGCTTCGGCTTTCACCTCGGCTCAGTTGAGCCGAAGCATATGCCTTCGGCTCGACTGAGCCGCTCAGCCAACTTCGGGAGCTGTACGGGCTCAAGTGAATAGCCCGTACAGCAGCCCTTCAGTTCTACTCAACCGAAGGGGTCCTGGGGCCAAAGCTAGCCGAAGGATCAGCCGAAGCTATGGCTAGATCCTTCGGCAGCTTTGTGAATAACACCCATAGTACTATGTGTCCTCAGTTATGAATGAACAGGCTGTGATTTACATCACAGCCTGTTCATTCATGAATTTCTGAATGGGGAGTAGCACTCCCTATGGAGGCTTCTCCCCATTCATAAACTGCTTGATAGTAAATATTTTACTATCAGCAGTTTCTGAATGGAATGGGAAGCCTCTGTACTGAGTGCTTCCCATTCATTGAGTGCTGAGGCTGCAGAAAACGAAATTGAGGATTTGGTGTCCTCAATTTCTTTTTCTATTTCAAAAGGGAAATGTCAGGGGTCTATTTAGACCCCAGATATTTCACCGTAGCCCCCCAAAACAGTAAAAAAAATTAAATACAAAATAAAAAAAATAAAAAATGTAAAACAAAATAAAATTGTTTAAAATAAAAAAATGTGTAAAAAAAAAAACTAATAAAGCACAACCCCCCCCCACATATTGTGGTGCACACCATGCAAATGCGCTGCAGTGCGTTGTTAGAACGCATCGCAGTGCATGATCTTTTTTATTGATTTATTTTCTTTTTAAAAAACCATTAAATTAACTGTGGCAGCGCATGGCAAAGCTTTGTGACTCATTGCCATGCGTTGTGATACCTTGTGTTGCAATTATACACCTGTATCACTTTATCACAACACAAACACCAAAACAATTTTTTACATAAGTCGATTTACAGTTTTGCATACCTTCATTTTTTACCTTTCCGCAAAAAGGTGCAATTACAAATTTGCTAATATTTGTTATGTATTAACTCAATACAGTTTTATCTTTTAGATTTAGTCAGAAAATAATTTTTTTTGTGCACGGATACCGATTTTGGTGTGTTTTAACAATTGAATTGTGTATTTCTATCGGTTTAATATTAATTTGAGAAACATTTGCGCAATTATCGCAGGGCCTACAAATTTAGTATCACCATCTTTTTATTCTACCGGGCCTGCGCTTTCAGAAAATATATGGTTTGGGGGGGTCTTTTACAAACGCTAGCAACGCAGCAGTTGAAAATCAAATCAATAGGAAAAAAAATGGCAGAAAATGCAAAAATGGCTTGGCCAGCTGATTTGAAAAATGTTCGAGGGCTTGGCAGCGAAAGGGTTAAGGGTCTGCTCACATTACTGTACATGTGATAAAACCAACATTTACAATATCAACTATGTAAAACAGCTTCCACTGAACTGCAATGAATGCAAATATCACCTACAAACATGTTATATTTTCACATCGTCATGTAGTTAACAAAATAGGTCTATGCAAAACGAACTAGCCTGGCTCTGGCACTGCTGCAGCACAAGGATAAAAATGAAGCAAGCCAGGAAAAGAACACTGCCTGGAACTGTTTGACCCAGGTAACTGCTGCTTCCCAAACACAAGTACACATCTAGCAAGCTAACAAGTTATGATACAAAATATGAAGAAAAAAGGCGGGAGTTTTCTGGAACATTCCTCCAGGTGGCGCCCTATTAAACTTGCAGCCACACAGTGACAGATGATACAGCCCTCAGGGTATACAGCTGGGAAAAGTAATAGAGAGCAAGTGTAACATTCTCTACACTTGCCAGTCCCTTTTCTGACCTTATGACACACACCGCTTACTACACTTCCTTTCAACAGTACACACTGTTGCGATGTAGCATTGCCTTTAGGCAGTCCGTTCTTTTTAATAGGCTGCATACTACACCAAATGCACCAGAAAGTGGAGGTGCTATTTCTGGTACTGCAGAATGCATGGCAGTGCATTACGTGTGTGTGTGTTGTGGTGCAGCATATGTTTGTTAGCAAGGTGCATTGGAGTGGCATTAAAAATGAATGGCACCACAGTGTGCAAAGCGCACATTGCACTAATGAGTGCATTATAGCTGGGCAACAGTGTAAACCAAGCCTATATGATCATTGTATTATGTATCTTGTAGATCAGAACTAGTTTGGTATTGATCAAGGATTATTGGTGGTCCTTTTTGGTCAATGATGAGTGTTATGGGGTATTAGATACATGGGAAGTGTAAGTTGAGTTAGCAGACAATACACAACAGAGAAGCAATCAGACAAGGAGTACTCTGTCTCTGCCCCTCTCACTCCAGACCAAGCATGGGCTGATGAAATGAAAGCACTGGAGGCCTGGACTGTTACAATAAAAGTCCCCATTACACTAACAACACAATCCCATTCATTCACTCCCCCCAATATCACTAAGTAGCTTGTCACCACGCACGTTACAATCTGAGCATACACTCTTTGTACAATCAACTTTACACTTACCAAAGCTATGTAATATGAGGATCTACCTAATGAATCGATCTGTATTCAATGGGGAAGGTCCTTGTACTACATAGTTGTTGGTAGATCCAAAGAAGATCAGGATGTAACATATGTGGGCTTTAGAGCGCGCACACACACACGTGTGTGATGCAACAGCCGTCACAATATAAACCCAAGCAGTAACCAATAGCACCCAGAGTTTATCGCGTCGAAACCAGTCGGTGTCCCGGAACGGTTGCTATGAGCTAGCTCATGGACGGCGGGGAAGACGTACAAGGTCTATGTAAAGCCCGTCTCCCTCGTTCCCACGACTCACCCGTCCAGGCGGGCGCCCTCTGCCCCTCACTGGGGTGGCCTCCCTCTCTTCATCACTGGAGAATTCCCGGGCACCGCGGTTGCGGGCGGTCAGGTGCTGCAGGTAGAGCTGCACATAGACATCCTTACGCTGCTCCCCGGAAGGCAGAGATACACTGTTGGCCAGCAGCTCATTTTTCAGCCTGTCTTTGGTCAGTAATGAGGGGTCTTCCAAAAACTCCGGCATAGCGCGCTCACATACAGGAGTGACAAATAGGGCGCCCGGGGATATTCGCTGTTCGGCTGAGGTACAAGGACGGCTCCCACAACAGGCAGGAAGGCGCCAATTGTTCTTCTAAGACAGAAACAGTAGCCTGGAAGCTGGTAACGGCCGCCCACTGCTCGACGGAGAAGCGGGACGCCAATCAATAACACGCCGTGTGATTGGCTGCTGGGGAAAGCAAGGCGGCCTCACATTGGCTGCTTGCTGCCTTCAAAAAATAAAGCGACACAGAACGCGGCCTTTCCACGAGAGACGCCGGGTGAGAGCGCGTGGGGTGGGGGGCACGCCTTTGTGTGAGGGGACGTGCCTGTCCTGATTGTATACACCTCGCACTGGTACGGAGTACTGAAGAAATACATTGTTTATAAATATGAGAGTCAAACACGTGTGTGTACTCTGCACCGTACTTTCTCCACTCAGCCTATAGTGTTCATTCAACAGCCGATTAAGGGCAAGTTCACATCGAGCTGTCAGCTTTTGTCCATGTTAACCCACTTCAAGACCGGGGTGGTGTTTACTCCCCCTTCCTGTGAAGGCCATTTTCAGTAGTTATTGCTGAGACATACAGTCATACAACGTTGTACTGAAATAAATTATACATCATTTTTGGGGGGGGCACAGAGCTTTCTTTTAGTTCTGTTTAATCACCACTGTGTTTTTTTTTTATTATTTAAAGAAAAGTATTGAAAAAACTTTGCTACTTTATGTTATGAAACATTTATTATTAGCCAATTTTTTGGTAAAATCTATAAGATGGGGTCACGTCAGGTAAATAGATACCTAACATGTCAAGCTTTAAGATTGCGTGCGCACCTGGGAAATCGCAAAAGCGACAATACCCAAAATTGACCATAGGCGACGCTTTGAAAGCTTTGACCGCTCATCAGTTTAGTGTTAACAGTGATTGATGGCCCTAGAGTTATTGCTCACACTCCGATAGATGCGGTGCTATGTAACGTGGGGCACAATAGTATTTGCGTGTGGGTGCGGGGAACTTTAAGGCCCTGTTCACACCAGGGTGGTTCGGCCGACATGAACGATCCCATACATTGCTATGTGGACCGTTCATGCGTCCGCGCAGCTTAGCGTGATCCGAACCGCCCCCTGCCCGAATTGCTCCCTGACCCTTTTTTGCTGCGCTGATCAGTGCCGTTTCCATACAGCTTTCAATGGAGCTACGTGGTTTTGGGCGTTTTTAATTGCGTTTCAGCGCTGAAACAAATCAGCGTGTAAACCGCACTGATCCGCAACCACCCTGGTGTGAATGGGGCCTAAAACATTTTGTTTGTATGTTACTTTTATTTTTTTTACTTTTTTCTTGCACTTAACTTTATTGCTATCACATAGGGGGATCTCATGCCTCCTATGTGATAGCACATAAAAAAGCAACAGGTCCTTTTCATGGAGACATCAGGGGTCTATTAGACCCCTAATGCCACCTAGGGACCCCAAAGAAGCTGATGAAGCAGAGATCTGTTTCACCAGCTACAGCAGCCAGAGAAATGACAGGCTGTAATGTAATACACATCACTTTCACATTCAGTGATCGAAAGTGAGATCAATTGGTGGACTTGTACTGATCACCCTCCGATCAAGGCAAAGAGAACTGCCATGTTGGCCAGCAGTGGAAGGGCTAACTCCCATGCAGCTTACAAACGATTGGGCGGCTCTATAGCGCATGTACATTATACTTCTGAGAACCTGGAGACCCAGAAGTCTTACAAATGTATGTATACCACTATCACAACTGCTTACCCCCCAAATATCTGTTGTAACTTTGCTCTCCCCCTCCACCCCCCAAGAATGTACTTATTGTTACATATACCCAGGGCTTGAAAAATCCACTCGTCTGTGACGAGAGGACGATGAAGCCTGACGAGCAGCTTCTTGGCCAGCCGCTGTAATTACACAGCGGGCCGGGAGCTTTACATTCAAGTGATCGGGCGTCTCTAGAGATGCTCGATCGCTTGTACTAGCAGCTGTCACTGCCGTTGCCGGTCCCGAGATCCGCTGTGCCCGATGCGGCCGCGACCAGCACGGCTCTGTGACAGGAGATCAAAGGGAGTTCATTATACGAACTCCCTTTGATCTCCTCTCAGTCCCCGAATGCAGGAAGTGATGTATGTTACATCACTTCCTGCATTCAGTGTCACTCTCAAGCTGCAGAAGCTGATGAAGCAGATTTCTGCTTCATCAGCTTCTCTGGGGGTCCCTAGGTGACATTAGGGGTCTTGGAGACCTCTGATGTCTCCATAAAGAGGACCTGCCATGTAAATTGGCTATTACATAGGGGGCTTCTTAGCCCCCCCATGTAATAGCAATAACGTTGTGTGTAAAAAAAAAAAAGTAATACAAAAATTAAAGAATCATAAAAAAAATAAACACGCCGATATGCATCGTGTGCGACTACGTGCGAAAACAAAGATTGCGCCTATTGTGCTGCAATAATTTTAGAGCCATTAATCACTGTTAACACTAAACTGATGAGCAGTAAAAGCGTTTTAAGCGTCACATATGGGCGTTTTTTGCAATTTTGCGGGCGCACACAATTTTAAGGCTTGACATGTTTGGTGTCTATTTACCCGATGTGACCCCAAATTTTATGTTTTACTAAAAATATGGGTAAGAATAAATGTTTTATAACATAACGTAGGGAAACTGTTTTTTTTTTTTTACCTTTATGGTACTTTTTTCATTATATAGTAAAAAAAAAAAAAACCACACCCCCCAGTGGTGATTACATACCTCCAAAAGAAAGCTCTATCTGTCCCCAAAAAATGTTAACATACATTGCAAGGCTATAGTCCGGTCATGCTTACTGGTGAAATTTTTGACTGACTGGTGAGACACCATAAAATTTCTCAAGCCCTGCATATACCTATTTGTAAACTATTAAACAAAAATAAAATTGTATATATAGAAATTCAGATTCCCTCACATTGTTGGTCTGTGGAGAAATGTTCCATTACATTAGTGGTCAGTGTAGGGTCCATTACGTTAATAGTAGTTATAGGACCCCCTTACATTGGTGATCAATGGGACAGGTGCCCCCTAAGACTAGTGGTCCAAACTTAAGTGCCCGCTTACATTGGTAGCCAGTGGAAAAAGCCCCCCTTACAGTAAGTGTCACTGAGAGAGGGGCCGCCTTCTACTGGTGGACAGTAGGGGAAGGTCCCCATTACAATGGTGGTAACTGGGAAGTATACTCCCCTTACAGAGAGGTAAAATATAATTGGCATCAATGGTTCCTATTTGAAAGTTAGAAAATGCTAGTTGCTTAGGGAACCTATGTCAACCTCTGGAGGAACCCTGGTTGAGAAAGGCTTCTATACAGGGGCTGACTGGCCTGCATGTGCACAGGGGAATCCCCTGGTGAGCCCCAAGTAAATAAGGCAAAAATAGCAATTAAAGCACCTAGTGGGAGTCCTGTCCCATACTGTCTCCTAGCAAGTAGGAGGCATAGCTGTATGATGTATATTGTATGTGTACGGCTGTAATTGCTCTGTAGGCTGTATTTACATAATCAATTAGTTGCCTGATTATTTTTTCAACTAATCGATTGGTTGCATTCAAATATCTCTCTCTCTCTCTCTCCATCCAAGGGAGGAACTGGAAAGGGAAGGATGGGGCAAATAAAGGGGGTGGGGGGAGGGCGCAGGTGAAGGGGTAGGTAAGGCAAATGGAACAGGGCAGCTCTCACACAGATTTGTAAATGAAAGGTAGGGCAATTAATTATACTTGTATATAGCTGTGAGATTTAAAATCCAGTGTCTGATCTGAAGGCATCTGTAATATTCTGTTTGTGGAGTTTTATGGTTTTCACACAATGTCAACTATTAAGGAAAGTTACGGTGAACATGGGATAAGCCATGTGTTCCACCAGGTAAAGATCTAGGTTTTTCCATGCCTGGTGAGAATAGTGGGTTATTGATGATCGGCAATAGGAGTAGAAAGAGGGACCACAGTTTGCTGGAGTAGTGTATCGAGTCGCAAAGCTTCAAGCTTTGGAGCTTCATGGGGCCTAAAAGGGGATGGGGAGGCCGAGTGTGGGAGCCAAGCAGAGCAGGTTGTGAAATCTCAGCACTTTTATAATATTTCTCTATATTGGGGAAATCTAACCCCCTTGAAACCTATGTGTGTAGAGGGTGCAGTGATGTATTCTGGGTCTTTTCTGTGCCCAAATGAAAGAAACAAAACATATTTGGAGCAAGTGCAATATAAAGGGGGTCCCTAACTGATAGAGTTTAGAAATAATATAACATTTTGGGGAGGCAGGTCATGTTCATCGCACGCATACAACCTATCCAAGAGAGAGATACAGTTCCAGATTTGTAAGAGCGTCCTTAACCCCTTCATGACTGAGCTTGTTTTTGGTTTCTGTTCGTAAATGACTGACACACTTTTGACATTTTTGCTGTGTGATTCTTCCACGTCAGTAATATACTTTCTTACAAAGTGCACCCACACATATTATATATTGTTTTTTAGAGGACAGATAGGGCTATATATTTATATCACATATGTGTGTCTAACGCCTCACTTAGGACAAATACAAATTAAAAAAAGAGGAAAAAACGTAAAAAAAAACTTTTTTTCCCAGTTTTGATTTGTAGTATTTTTTTTTAACAAAACCAGCACAGCTAAAAAAAAATGCAATACATACATTCATTTATTTGTCCCTTATTTTTAATTTTTTTACACTTTTCACTATTTTTTTTAATTTATTTACACTTTTCACTTTTTTTATACTGACAAATTTTATTTATTTAATTATATCAGGCAGTCATTGTGAATTAATCTCACTATTACTGCTTGATAAATTAATACATTTTTTTTTATTATCAGGCTGCTTCAAACTTCAGAACAGCCGATAATAAGTTAGTGACACTGATCCTGCAGCAGTTCAGGATTCAGCTGTCAGTGAATGTTTCAGAAAACTTAAACATTCTACTTTCAAGAATAGATACATTATGTGTCTAATACATAACATTTTGTATCTATTCTTGAAAGTCAAAAGATAAAAAAAAACAAAACAGTATAGCTTGAGAGAGATATCTGCCGGCAAAAGCCGACATATGTCTCTGCTTTGCTGTGACTCTCAGACACCCGATATTAAGGTATCGGGTGTCTGAAAAAGGTTAACCCTTTCAGTAATGGATCTCTAGATAGTTAGACATCTATTACTGAAAGGTAACCGCTGATTCTCAGCGGTTAGCAGCCTTCTAGTGCAGCAAATAACTCGTCACGTACAGTGTACGTGAC